TCCTCTGCCTCCTTGCTTTTGTTAAAAACATAGTCACATCTTTTTTTGAACGGTTTTCCTCTCAGTTCCCCTCCCACTGAATTTTTGAAGGAATTCATCATCCTGGTATTTTCCCCCTTTGTATTTTGGGTTTTTTTTTCCCCCCCTATTCCGCCCCTCTCCACTTGGAGCCAACATGTAGTCAAGCACAGAACCCTAATACTCCCAGGGGCCATTCAACATGTTTTCCCCCTCATGCCCCGAAAACTCAAGGGAATCAAGGTCCAGTCTACTTTTTCATCCTCCCTCTCTCTCGGGTAGTGTCCCTAACATTTGTGCATGATTTTTTCCAGTACCACATCCATCATCTTGGCTCCCATGTTTTGGGACCCCCATGGGGCTCCAATTTTCCCCCATCAATCTCCTTGGATTGAAATCACCCAAAAACTATAACTTTGCGCCCCCCATGGTGTTTCCTGCCCCCCGGCTAGTGTGTTACAATTGCTCTGTTGCTCTCTCGTAATTCTTCTCTGGCCTCCTGCGGGTTCTTGGGGGGTTGTACATTACTGCAATTACCCCCTTATGTCCCTAAAACGGATTGTTCCTACAAATATCCCTTTCGCCCGTGCCATCCATTCCTTCCATTTTCTCAAACCCCACGATTTTTAATGAGCAGGCAACTCCCCCTCCCCCCCTCCTCCCTCGTCTTTCCTAGGATTTTATACCGATGGGAAAAATTGAATCTGTTATTATTTTGGTGAGTTTTTTTTTTCTGTGAGTGCATTAGTCTGGGGGGCTCCTGATTCTTTCGGCCCTTTCCCTACTTATTTGTTATTCCACGCATTTTGAATACCACCCTTCAAATTCTTTTTTAAGACGTGGTCTGGGAGGTGTATTGGGGGTTGGGGGGTGGGAGACCTATAAGAAATATGGTGGGTTTCGTGGGGGTGGGGTTTGTAGTATAGTGGGTGGGCATTTTGGGTTGGGAGGGGGTTTTGGTTTAGAGGTTTGGTTCACTGGGGTTGTGTGTGGTGTGTGTGTGTGTGGTGTGGTGTGTGGGGTGTGTGTGTGTGTGGTGTGTGTGTGTGGTTGGTGGGTGGTGTGTGTGGGGGTGTGTGTGTGGTTTTGGGTGTGTGTGTGGGGGGGTGGTGTGTGTGGTGGTGGGGTTGTGGGGGTGTGTGGGGTTGGTGTGTTTGTGGTGGGTGGGTGTGTGGTGTGTGTGTGGTTTTGGGGTGTGTGGGTGTGTGTGGGTGTGGGTGGTGTGTGTGTGTGTGTGGGTTTTTTGTGTGGGTTGGTGTGGGGGTGTGTGGGGTGTGTGTGTGTGTGTGTGGGTGTGTGTGTGGGGTTTGGGGGTGTGGGGGTGTGTGTTTTGTGTGGTGTGGTGTTTTTGTTTTTGGGTGGGTGTGTGGTGTGTGTGTGGGGTGTGTGTGGGGTGTGTTTTGTGTGTGGTTGGGGTGTTTTGTGGGTGTTGTGGTGTGTTGTGTGTGTGTGTGGTTTTGGGGTGTGGTGTTGTGTGTGGTGTGGTGGTGTGTGTGTGTGGTGTGTGTGTGTTGGGGGTGTGTGGGTGTGTGGGTGTGTGTTGTGGTGTGTGGGTGGGGTGTGTTGTGTGGTTGTGGTGTGGTTGTGTGTTGGGGTTTGGGGTTTGGGTGTGTGTGGTGTGTTGTTGGGGGGTGTGGGGTGGGGGTGTGTGTTGGGGGTGTGTGGTTTTTGGGTGGGGGTTGGGTGTGTGTGTGGGGGGTGTGGGGGTGGGGGGTTGTGGGTGGGGGGTGTGTGTTGGGTGTGTGGTGTGTGGGGGGTGTGTGTGGGGGGTGGGGGTGTGGTGTGTGTTGGTGTGGTGGGTGGGGGTTGTGTGTGGTGGGTGTGGGGTTTTGTGGGTGTGTGGGGTGTGAGTGTTTTGGGGTGTGGTGTTGTGTGTGGGTTGTGTGTGGTGTTTTGGGGTGGGGTTTGGTGTGTGGGTGTGTGTGTTGTGGTGTGTGTGGTGTGGTTGTGGTGTGTGTGTGTGTGTGTGGGTGTGTGTGGGGGGTGGGGTGTGTGGGGTTTGGTGTGGTGTGTGGTGTGTGTGTGGTGGGTTTTGGGTTGTGTGTGTGTGTGTGTGGTTTGTTGTTTGGGGTGGGGGGGGTGTGTGTGTGGGGTGTGTGGGGGTGTGTGGGGGTGGTGTGGGTGTGGGTTTTGTGGTGTGTGTGGTGGTGTGTGGTGGGGTGTGTGTGTGTGGGTGTGTGGGTTGTGTGTGGTTGTGTGGGGTTTTGTGGGGTTGGTGTTGTGGGGTGGGTGGTGGGGTTTGGGTGGGTTTGGGGGTTTGTGTTGTGGTGTTGTGTGTGGGGTGTGTGGTGGTGTGTGTGTGTGGGTGTGGGTGGGGTGTGTGTGGTGTGTGTGTGTGGTGTGTGTGTGGTGTGTGTGTGTGGTGGGGTGTGTGGTGGGGGGTGTGGGTTTGGGTGTGGTGTGTGGGTGGTGTGTGGTGTGTGGTGTGGGGTGGGGGGGGGGGTGGGTTTTTTTTGGGGGGGGGTTGGTGGTGGGGTGGGGTTTGGGTGGTGTGGTTGGGGGGGTGGGTGGGGGGGGGGTGGGTGTGTGGGGGTTTGTTTTTGGGGTGTGGGTGGGTTGGGGGTGGTGGTGGTGTGTGGGTGGTGGGGGTGGGGGGGGGTGGGGGGGGGTTTTGGGGGGGGGGGGTGGGGGGGGGGGGGGGGTGGGGGGGGGGGGGTGGGGGGGGGGGGGGGGGGGGGGGGGGGGGGGGGGGGGGGGGGGGGGGGGTGGGGGGGGGGGGGGGGTGGGGGGGGGTGGGTGGGGTGGGGTGGGGGGGGGGGGGGGGGGGTGTGGTGGGGTGGGGGGGGGGGGGGTGGGGGGGGGGGGTTTGTGGGGGGGGTGGGTGGGGTGTGGGGGGGGGGGGTGTGGTGGTGTTGGTGTGGGGGGGTGGGGGGGTGTGGGGTGGGGTGTTGTTGTGTGTGGGGTTTTTGGGGGTGGTGTGTGTTGTGGTGGGTGGGGGGGGGGGGGGGGTGGGGTGGGGGTTGGGTGGGGGGGGGGGGGGGGGGGTGGGGGTGGGTGGGGGGGGGGGGGGGGGGTGGGGGGGGGGTGTGTGGGTGTGTGTGGGGGGGGTGTGGTGTGTGGTGGTTGGTGTGGGGTGTGTTGGGGTTGTGTGGTGGTGGGGTGTGTGGTGGGTGGGGGGGGTTTTTGGGGGTGGTGGTTGGGGGGTGTTGGGGGGGGGGGGGTGGGGGGGTTTTGTTGGTTGGTGTGTGGGGGTGGGGGTTTTGTGGGGGTGTGTGTTGGGTGGTTTTGGTGTGTGTTTTGTGTGTGGTGGTGGGGTTGGGGGTGTTGGGGGTGTGGGTTGGTTTTTGGGTGGGGGGGTGGGGGTGGTGTGTGTGTGGGGGTTTTGGGTGGGGGTGTGGGGTTTTGGGTGGTGGTGTTGGTGGTGTGGTTGGTTGGTGTGTGGTGTTGTGGTTTTGTGGGGTGTGTGTGTGGGGTTGTTGGTGGTTGTGTTGTGTGTGTGTTTTGTGGGGGGGTGTGGTTGGTTTGTGTGTGTGGTGTGGGGGTGTGGGGGGTGTGTTGTTGGTGTGGGGGTGTGTGTGTGGGTTTTTGTGGGGTGGTGTGGTGTGTGGTGGGTGTGTGTGTTGTTTTTTGTGGTGTGTGTTTGGTGTGTGGGTGGGTGGGGGTGTGTGTGTGTGGTTGGGGGTTTTGTGTGGGGGGGGGGGGTGTGTGGGTTGTGGGTGTGGTGTTGGGGTGGTGTGTGTGGGGGGTTGGGGGTGTGTGTTTTGGGGTGTGTGTTTTTTTGGGGGGGGGGGGGGGGGGGGGGGGGGGTGTGGGGGTGGGTGTGGGGGGGGGGGGTTGGTGTGGTGTGGTGTGGGGTTTTTGGGTGGGTGTGGGGGTTGTGTGGTGTGTGTGGTGGTGTGTGTGTGGTGTGTGGGGTGGGTGTGTGGGGGGGGGGTGTGTGGTTGTGGTGGGGGGGGGTGTGTGGTGGTTGTGTGGTGGGTGTGTGGTGTGTGTGTGTGTGGGGGGGGGTTGTGTGTGGGGTGGTGTGTGTGTGTGGGGTGTGGGTGTGTGGGGGTTTGTTGTTGTGGGGGTGGTGGGGTGTGTGGTGGTGTGTGTGTGTGTTGTGTTGTGTGTGTTGTGTGTGTGTTTTGTGTGTGTTTTGTGTGTGTGTGGTGTTTTGTGTGTGTGTTGTGTTGTGTGTTGGTTGTGTGTTTTGTGTGTGTGTTTTTGTTGGTGTTTTTTGTGTTTTGTGGTGTGTTTGTGTGTGTGTGTTTTTTGTGTGTGGTTGGTGTGGTGTGGTGTTTTGGTGTGTGTTGTGGTGTGTGTTTGTGTGTTGTGTGTGTGTGTGTGTGTTTTGTGTTGTGTGTTGTGGGGTTTTTGTGTGTGTGTGTGTGTTGTGTTTGTGTGGGTTTTTGTGTGTGTGTGTTTGTGTTGTTTTGTGTGTGTTTTGTGTGGTGTGTGGGTGTGTGTGTGTTGTGTGGTGTGTTGTGTTTTTGTGTGTGTGTTGTGTGTGTGTTTTGGTGTGTGTGTGTTGTGTGGTGTGTTGTGTGTGGTGTGTGTGTTTGGTGTGTGTGGGGTGTGTTGGTGTTGTGGTGTGTTTGTGTGGGTTTTGTTGTGTTGTGTGTGTGTTTGTGGTGTGGTGTGTGGTGTGTGTTTTGTGTGTGTGTGTGTGTGTGTTGTGTGTGTGTGTTGTGTGTGGTTGTTTGTGTTGTGGGGTGTGTTTTTGTTGTTTGTGTTTGTTGTGTGTTTTGTGTTTTTTTGTTGTTTGTGGTGTTGTGGGGGTGGTGTTTGTGGTTTTGGTTTTTGGGGGGGGGGGGGGGTGGGGGGGGTTGGGGTGTGGGGGTTTGTGGTGGGTTTTTGTTTTTGGTGGGTGGTTGGTTGTGGGGTTTTTGGTGAGGGTTGTGTTGTGATGTAGTGTGTGTGTTGGGGGTGTAGTGTTGGATGTTGTTGTGGTGTTTGTGTTTTGGGGGGTGTGTGTGTTGTGGTTGTGTGTGTGTTGTGTGGTGTGTTTTGTGTGTGTGGTGGGTGTGTTTTGTTGTGTTTTTGGGGTGTGTTTTGGTTTGGGGTGTTTGTGGTTTGTTGGGGTTTAGTGTTTGTGGGCTGTGTGTTGAGTGTGTGTTTGGTGTGTTGTGTGTTGTGTTGGGGTGTAGTTGGGGTGTTGTGTTTGGTTTTGGTTGTTTGGTGTGTTTGGGGTGTTGGGGGGTTGGTGGGTGGTGGTGTTTGTGTGTTTTGGTGGTGTGGTTTGTGTGTTGTGTGTTTGTTTGTGGTGTTGGTGGTGTTGTGTGTTTTGGGGTTGTTGTTGTGTTTGTGTGTGTTGTGTGGTGTGTTGTGTGTTTGTAATGTGTGTGTGTTGTTGTTGTTTTGTTTGTTGGGGGTTTGTGGGGGGTTTTGTGGGGGTTTTGGTGTGTGTGTGTGTTGTTGTGTGTATTTGGGGTTGTGGTTGGGGTGTTTGGGGTGTGGTTGTGTGTGTTGTGTGGTGTTTTTGTGTTTCCGTAATGTTCCTTGGGTAATTTTTGATGAAGGGTACCTTAAAGGTTCCTTTAGTGTTCATTCAATATTCTTCCTTTTAGTGCCTCTTCAGTGTTCTTCCTTCAGTGCTCCATCAGTGTTCCTTTAGTGCTCCTCAAGTGTTCCTTTAGTGCTCCTCAAGTGTTCCTTTAGTGCTCCTCAAGTGTTCCTTTAGTGCTCCTCAAGTGTTTCTTTAGTGCTCCTCAAGTGTTCCTTTAGTGCTCCTCAAGTGTTCCTTCAATCTCCTTTGCGTATCTTTTCCACCCTCCACCTCTCCCCAAAGCATCTTTTTTTTAGCCCAAATCGTCTGATCCCCAAAGGGTTAATACACTTTATAAAACCTGTTTACTTCTTTACATTCTATTTTAGTATGTTTTTATACAATATTTCTTATTTATAAATACATTTTCCTTATTTAAAAACCCCTAACAAAAAAAATTGGGGTGTTTTTTTGGGGGGCTGGAATGGATTAATGGCATTTCAATTAATTTCAATGAGGAAAATTGATTTGATATACAACAAATTGAGTTACGAGTTCGGTCACGGAACGAATTAAACTTGTAAGTCAAGGTACCACTGTATACAAGTGTAGCTATACATAATATGCATGATAACATCATATATAGGAAAACATCGGAAACTGTTTCTGAAAATCTAAATTTATGCTATTATTCTACATCAACCTGCCTTGGCAAGAGACAGTCATTAAGGTAAAAAAAAAAAAAATTATTCTACAAACCTCTAATGCCATGTTAGTGTGTACGTAGAGTGGGAAGCCCCTGAGTTTAGCTCCAACTTGAGTGTCTTCATGTGAAGGCATGAAGCCAATCATTCCAACATTGTAATCACGCATATACTTGTCCAAGAGTTCCCGATTCCAAGGGTCAATTTGGAGGTAGCGTTCAAAGTTCTCAAATATTATTGTACCATATTTACCTCTTGACAGGTTGGTGAGTCCAGGTAGAGACTTACCCAAAACTTCCATTTTATACCTTTGAAAAAATATGATGAAAAAAATTTAATATTGGATATTAAATAGACAAAGATACAATTCTATTGCAAGAGTAAGAACAGCAAAATGTAGTGAAGAGTACACGTATATTATAATGCAAAAAATCAACAGTCAATCACAATAACAACTCTAGTATGTACATAACAAATGATTTATAAAAAAAAATATTTGCACATTCATTAAAAAATCTGTAACAGATTACTTGAATGAAATGGAACTCACTTGATTCTATTTGCAACAAGGATATTTGTGATATCTTTCCCAGTTTTTGAGTACCGTGTTTCTGTAAAGAGCAACACCTTGGGATCTTCACGTAATCTATTCTCAATGGTCTTTGGGGGGACGCGGAGACGAGGAAGAGAGGCATTGGCCAGATTGTTGCAGCGGAACAATGATTCAGGTGGGCGGCCACGTACCAGGCTGGAACAAAAAACAAAGCTGTTGCTATGTCAGTCATCAACCACATGTATGTACTGTACTGTACTTCCTAAATAAACTGGCTCTTAACCCTTAAACAGTCCAAACAGATCGACGTTCAAATTCGTATTGCTACAAAAGTAGATCTACTTTTTTTTTACATATTTTCAAATATAACAAAAAAAAATGTAGATAAAAGTTTTTTTTACACATTTTCAAATGTAAAACAAAAAAGATCTACATTTTTTTACATACTTTCAGATGTTTGGACCATTTAAGGGTTAACAGAAGTTAATGAGAAACTTTTCCTGAATTGTGAAATACTTTCAAAATAGATTACTGAATTTTATGCAACCTCTGCAATTCTAATCTTCACTGAATAAATAATAACCAAATCTCTTATGCATCCCTAGCAGACTTTCTGCTATTTGGTGAAGTATGAAATGAAAATTTATTCACAAAATTAGTCAGAAAAGTTTAATAAATAAAGATTCAATCCATACTTTTGATGCCCTTTTCTCATGAGTTTCTATATTTTTTAACACTACAAAAGTTGTTATCCATCTCAGCTCATTTCAAAACTTGGCCACAGCAATATACTGTATCTCTGTTATGGTACCCTGTTTCCTCCCCTCCCTTTCCTTGGGAACAGGGGTCAGTGGATATAAGGAGAGTTGCCCTTATATCTCACTTACCCAGGATTCCAACTCAGGATCTATGTAATTAATGATAAATAAACTCAGTAAAAACAAATCTGTATTTTACAATGCAAAATAATTATGAAGTAAAAAAAATTCTTGCTTTGAAATGGATGATATGGAAAAAAAATCATTATTACTATCATTATTTTTTCAACAAATATATGGTCTTTTGAAAGATATACATATAAATATGAGTACAGTACTGTTCAACCTTCAAAGGCAGATGTTAGTCCCAGAAATATGAGGTGTTTCAAGTGAGAACTATTCAAGCAGCACTGGTAAACAAAGCCAGAACACATACACATTAGTTTCCCTAGGCAATAATCCGAAACTTACATTTTTTGTTAAGAAATTAACCATTTGGCTCATGCCAAGCTTCATAAATAGTGTAGGCCTTCTACTTGAAAATGCAAGCTATGAAGTTTATTATGGTATAAAAAAAAAATGCTTTGTTTAATACTGTTGTTTGTTTAAGTTCTTGCTTGTAATACCTCATAATTATTGAGAACAGATGTTAGTACAGCAGTAAATTATTTTGTTTTAAAAGAGGTGAATCCTAGGAAGCATTTTTGTCCATTTACTTGTTAGGATAAAAAGCAAACCTGTCATCAGTTGCCTAGCCTTATGTCCTTTAGCATCAGATTTACAATACAATCATCAAGAACGTCAGACTTAATTAACTAGAACATTTTTCTTTAAAAGGTTTTAAACAGTGAATTAATTGAAATATGAAACCTTGAGAAATATGACAGAACATATACTATGCATATGTACATAAATGCATGTACTATATATACATATAACTATTTTAACAAATGAATAATTAAAGTGTAATGAACACTCATCAGTGCTCAATAATAACCCACAGAGACAGATAAAGAGCATACCAGAAGAGGGTCGAAATATACAGATCAATTAATCTCCCGAGTTTCTGTCTCCATGTGGAATATTATTGAGCAGTTTAACAGAAATAATTACAAGTCTAATGCAAAAATATTCATAAAATAAACTCAAACAAATTCAACATGCACACAGTCATGTAAGAAAGCCAACAATTCAAAAATGACTTATAAGTGAAAGTTGCATTGAAAGTCAACATGCTTTACCCTTAAATTATTTCTAGGTACATTACCACCCCGTAGAGAGTCAATCTTTTTTTTATATTTTTTTGTAACATATTTCATAAATTTGTGTAGTAAACAAATACCCATGTAGCCATATATCTATGTGATACTTATTTTAAGGGTTAAAAGCAACAAGTTAAATATGGCCAGTTAAATTATAAATAGCATGCATGCAATGTGAGCCAAACCTATAAAAAGCCACTTATACCATTCCTTAATATACAATTAAGAATACTGGTAGGCAACATAAATCCACATAGATCATAATCATTGCTTTAGAAAATGAATGGATATTTTCAACTAACTACTGTATACTAATGAGGGTGGGTGATAATCTCTCTCCACAAATTCTGCAAAATATAAATCATCATTATATCAAAACTAATAGTTCAGGAAACTAATATACATAATGACAATTAAAATTCAAGCAAACTAACAACATAGAAAAATCTTAGCAAGATCCACAATGAATGGCTTTATGGATCAATCTTTTTTTTTACTACAGTACTGTATAAGCAATTCATATTTATGAGGTTTGACACAATCAAATATGTGTAGAATGATGTTTTTTTATTCATGCAAAAAGCAACATCCTACTTATAGTACTGCAATATAAAATTGTGGAATTCTAATTACCATAACATTTATACAAAGGGCTACCAACAAGCTCTGAAAAGCTAACAATTATATCTCTGCTTACCTCATCAATGAGCGGTGAGATGACTCACTGACTGAGTAAATCACCACCACAATGATAACAATTGCTGCTCCAAGAATATACCGCCTCCAAGAGGCTTTTCTTGAGCCTGCAAAACACAGCGTGGCTCTGTGCCACAAACGCCAGGGACGGCATATGAGTGGCAAGTTCCTGCTGCTCTGAGAGGTCGAGTGGCTAGGATGAGGTCCTTCCCAGTTACTCTCACCCCATGCATAGCTGTCCACAGCACTGGGAACCAGAAGACTTTGTTCGCTCTCCATGTTCTCATGCATCTCTCAGTGTTCCAGTACTGTCTAGCTACTTGGAGTATACCTGGATATACTGTGTATATCCACATATGAAAATTGTAGTCACCACTTCACCTAACATTAAAATACAAATTACAGAAGATGATTGGATAGGTCCTCCAAATTATTTGCTTTAAAATGTGGTGCTCCATTGTACGACATGGAGAGCTTGTAGCTTCAGTGGTACATAACCACCTTACACAAAATAGCAGCCTTGGTTGCTGGTACATTGGCACTGATCCATTCACAAGTTCCTCAAAAGTATCTCCAACAGTAATCTGCAAATGAAAGTTAAGAAATTATATTCATTACCCTGAATATATATACAGAACTACTGCACTGTTACTCATTTACCTTAGTTTAATGCTTACCCAACATTAATGTCTGTGATCTTAACAAGTACAGTACTTTATTTTTATACTTTCATGTGTAACCCAGAGGCAGATGCCTGGAATCTACCCAATCTACACAGAAAATACCATTCAGCAGAATCAGGGAGCTTTGAGCCTAACAAAACCATTTACAATTACTCCAATTACAAAAAAAAATCATTTTATTGATGATTCACATACACACTCAAGGCACAGTAGGCCTCTTGCAGTGTTCCCTCTCTGCTCACTGTGTCATGATCTCACTTCCTTGGCTATTCATCTGTTCATACCTGACTGATATAAATATGTTGACCAGTATTGCTCATCATTTTGTATTGACTTCAAAAGCCTGTTACACTGGCAAAACATCGCTTTTATAAAGTGCTAAATGCACAGGGGTCTTGAACCCCCCCACTCCCAGGCTAAATGCCTGGGAGTGGGGCAGATTAAGGTTCAATGGAAGAAGACTTTTTCATCCCCTTTAACCAGGGCAAAGTGCTAAACCCACGGTAGTCATATAATGCCTGGGGAATGGGAGGATGGCTTCAATTCCTTGGATCAAGAGCTATTACCAGCATCAAGGAACCTGTCTCCCTGAATGCAATCAGATATTTAATGTTGTTAGGTAAGATATTTAATGTATGGCTAAATTCTGTTAAGCACTACTACAACATTCATGGGGGAGTGCTAAACCCATATGGTTCATACAGTGCCTAGAAAACAGGAGGCATTCAGGTTCAAGTCAAGGAAGTAGGAGGGGGGCAGGTCCAATACCTTGGATCAAGAGCCCTTCTCCTCCCTTGAGGGGCTCCAAGTCAAGATCAGTTAACACTGACAAGGTCAAGATCAGTTAACACTGACAAGGTCAAGATCAGTTAACACTGACAAGGTCAGGATCAGTTAACACTGACAAGGTCAGGATCATTGAACACTGACAAGGTCAGGATCATTGAAACCACTGACAAGGTCAGGATCATTGAACACTGACAAGGTCAGGATCATTGAACACTGACAAGGTCAGGATCATTGAACACTGACAAGGTCAGGATCATTGAACACTGACAAGGTCAGGATCATTGAACACTGACAAGGTCAGGATCATTGAACACTGACAAGGTCAGGATCATTGAACACTGACAAGGTCAGGATCATTGAACACTGACAAGGTCAGGATCATTGAACACTGACAAGGTCAGGATCATTGAACACTGACAAGGTCAGGATCATTGAACACTGACAAGGTCAGGATCATTGAACACTGACAAGGTCAGGATCATTGAACACTGACAAGGTCAGGATCATTGAACACTGACAAGGTCAGGATCATTGAACACTGACAAGGTCAGGATCATTGAACACTGACAAGGTCAGGATCATTGAACACTGACAAGGTCAGGATCATTGAACACTGACAAGGTCAGGATCATTGAACACTGACAAGGTCAGGATCATTGAACACTGACAAGGTCAGGATCATTGAACACTGACAAGGTCAGGATCATTGAACACTGACAAGGTCAGGATCATTGAACACTGACAAGGTCAGGATCATTGAACACTGACAAGGTCAGGATCATTGAACACTGACAAGGTCAGGATCATTGAACACTGACAAGGTCAGGATCATTGAACACTGACAAGGTCAGGATCATTGAACACTGACAAGGTCAGGATCATTGAACACTGACAAGGTCAGGATCATTGAACACTGACAAGGTCAGGATCATTGAACACTGACAAGGTCAGGATCATTGAACACTGACAAGGTCGAAAACAATCAGGATCATTGAACACTGACAAGGTCAGGATCATTGAACACTGACAAGGTCAGGATCATTGAACACTGACAAGGTCAGGATCATTGAACACTGACAAGGTCAGGATCATTGAACACTGACAAGGTCAGGATCATTGAACACTGACAAGGTCAGGATCATTAACACTGACAAGGTCAGGATCAGTTGAACACTGACAAGGTCAGGATCATTGAACACTGACAAGGTCAGGATCATTGAACACTGACAGTCAGGATCATTAACACTGACAAGGTCAGGATCATTGAACACTGACAAGGTCAGGATCAGTTAACACTGACAAGGTCAGGATCAGTTAACACTGACAAGGTCAGGATCAGTTAACACTGACAAGGTCAGGATCAGTTAACACTGACAAGGTCAGGATCAGTTAACACTGACAAGGTCAGGATCAGTTAACACTGACAAGGTCAGGATCAGTTAACACTGACAAGGTCAGGATCAGTTAACACTGACAAGGTCAGGATCAGTTAACACTGACAAGGTCAGGATCAGTTAACACTGACAGGGTCAGGCATGTTTACATACAAGGTTCAGTTTAACACTGCAGGTCATAATGATTCAGTTAACGCGGGTCAGTTCCTAACTTCTCACAATTTAAAGTCAGCTACTAAGTTCATTGTTCAACATAATGTCTTCAAGTTAAATAGGCACTGTTGACTCTATACTGGCCACTATTACCCCGCCAGGGCCTATACATGTTATAACCCTCTTCACCTGGCCTGGATCAAGAGTACCCCCCTGCGCCCCACTCATGACTAAATATAACGGAGGGAGAGTGAAGTCAGCGTGAATATAAGTTCAGGTCAGTAATGGCGACCCTACCCCCATGGCGACCTCTGGTCACTCACCCAGCTAGATTAAAATACACTAGTCACTACAATGACCGTCGCCGGAGTATTCTGACCCTACAAGAACCGCATTGAATGTCGTGAATGGTTTAAGTATGCTCTGAGATTGTGAAGTGCAGGTGTTAACATGGCAGTCGTCCTTGTGGAACACAATAAAAATATGGGCCTGCACCCGCACATCTTTGGTGTCCAATTTAGGCTAAGATTTAAATAAAAAATAAATCTAAGTTGTTTTTAGTAGCCTGTGCCGGGGGTGAATGTTTCTGCACCATGCTACCATGAGCAACGAAGTAATTAAAGTCTGGGGATTATGGTTATAGTATGCTCTCTGTAATTAGTGAACAGGTTAATATGGACAATGCAAGTCCTGTGGAATCACAATATTTCCCTAAAAATATTAGCAACTTCTATACATCGGCACATTACGTATTGTTATAGTAAAAATTGTAGTGGCTAAACACATCTCACAATAAATGCATAACCTGCACTGTGTGTTTTTTTTCTGCTTGTGCCGGGGGTTGAACCCTGGTCCCTCAGTGCAAGACCTGAATGGCTACCAGCTGAGCCACGAAGTAATTTTAAGTTTGGTGAGGTTAGGTTAAGTTTCTTACATTTGTGCAACATAACTACCCTGACAAAGCTAACTGTATCACTGGATCACTGAAGTAGGGTGATCCCCCCCCAAAAAAACACTTTCACCATCATTCAATCAATCTTACCATTATTATTATAATAAAAAATAAGTGCTAAACCCACAAGGATCATACAACAATCTTGTCATAAGCGTCCTGACATTACAGTACAGATAAGTTTCCAAACTGTAACATCCTAACCCCTTCTTCCTGCAGAGTGCATGCACTGCACCTTCCACCTCCAGGACTCAAGTCCATTATTATTATTATCAAGGGGGAAGCACTAAACCCGTAGGATTATACAGCGCCTATGGGGGGGATGGAAGGCATTCAGGCTTAATTCAGGGAACTGGAGCACAGATCCAATTCCCTAGATCAAGAGCCCCTCACCAGGACTCAAGTCCAGCTAACCAGGTTTCCTCGTTATTACTATTATGAATCATGGGAAGGTTAAACCCAAATGATCATGCACAACATCAGGAACTGAGAGTTTTATTTTAATGAGGGTGAAGTGCTTATTTATTTATTTAATGTCTTTGCAAACAGTACATTGAGATTTTGTATTTACAATAGTGGGTTGTAATGCAGAGAGCCTCTATTATGCCTAGGCATTATGGGCCAACTTAACATTACTGGCTTACAGACTACTGAACACTAAGGATTATATCATAGTTGTGCAGTAGGATAGTAATTATTTCATAGTTGTACAGTAGATTATTAATTATAAGTGAATCTAATTTGTATAAGACAAAAGATATATTCATAAATTAAAAAATGTTTTTAGTGAAAACAATGATTCATTTATATTCTTGTCAACACTGGAACTAACTGGGAATGGGAGACATCCATGGTCAATCCAAGGATGAGGAGAATAAGTCCAGTTTCTTGGATCAAGATCCCTTCACCAGCATCACAGCACATCCTTCCATAATGGAGAGCATCTCACTGGCTGATGTTTCAGTTCCTCTCTGACTATTATCAAGACAGGTGAGAAGAAAGCAAACCAGGAGACAGGTCGGGTGAAAAGGTTTGGAAATAAATTATGTTTATATTAAATCCTTCGTTCTGAAGAGTGCAGTAACAGCCTGGTTGATGAGACCTTGACCCGCCACGAGGCCAGGTCTCAGACCGAGCCGTGAGGGCGTTGACCCCTGAAACCCTCTCCAGGTATGCAAGTTATTACATTTAGGAGGGAAGTGCTAAACCTGTATGGGTTATACAGCACCTGGTGAATGGGAGGCATTCAGGTTCAATCCAAGGAAAAGAACAGGTTCCATTCTTTTGATCAAAAGCCTCTCACTAGCTTCGAGGAATCTCCCTTGAAGGGAAATATATAACAATATGTACCAGACAAAGCAGCACTAATACTCATATTATTATAATCATTACCAAGTGCTAAACCCATAAGGGTTTAGCACTTGATTCCCACCATATTCTCAGGTGATCATAACACGCTCTTTGTTTTAGCAGTATTATTCCTGTTGAGTAATTTCAATTGCTATTGTTTTCTTTTAAGTAGAACTTTAACTATGTGGTGATCATTTTGAATGTTTCTCACCCATTTAAATCTTATCTTCAATTACTTCTTCTATCCTCAACTTTGGTGCTTTGATCTATGGCAACCCTCA